TAGAGAGAGAGAGAAAGAGAGAGAAAGAAAGAAAGAAAGAAAGAAAGAGATAAACAAATGAAACATGTAAAGACAACGAATTTCAATAAGTTATAAATTGATGAATGAGGCTTTCTTTGTTTCTTTCTGTCTTTCTTTCTTTCTTTCTTTCTTTCTTTCTTTCTTTCTTTCTTTCTTTCTTTTCTTTCTTTCTTTCTTTCTTTCTTTCTTTCTTTCTTTCTTTTCTATAAAAAATATATAACTCCCAGCATAATGCTATATATACATGTTCAGACGCTGAGAAGGCATTAAGTAAGTTGTTTTTTTGTTCGTATGACGTCTTTTTTGCTTACCCCAGATTGCCCAAACCATTTTTGTCTTTAGGAAATAAATTCTCATTTTTCATCTCTCGGAAGATCTTCTCTTCCTTATCCCCTCCGGTCTATTGGTCCTCCTGAACTTGTCCTCTCCTCTGCCCCTCTCCTCCTTTCCTCTCCTCATTTTTCATTCCATCCACGCGCTACTCTTCACCATTCACTCTCCTAGTTCTTTCTGTAACCCAAGGCCCTACCCTCGCTTCCTCCTCCTCTTCCTCCTCTCTCCTCCCTCCTCATCGAAGCCTCATCTCACACACGAATAGAACGGGGAGGTAATAAATAAGGCCGCAATGAGCGAGTAATTCGAGGTTTCTGCCGCTAGAGATAGGGGCCGGGCCCCGCAGTAAATCTGGAGACTACCTCGCGCTCGCAGACACCGAGGGAAACAATAATATTTCAGAATTTGTCAAATGATCCATTACTGGGAGGCCAGATGGACCCAGAGGCTCATCAAAACCTGAGAGAAATCTGAGAAAGGGGAGACTGACGCGCAGCCGGCGCGGAGGATGACCGCCATAAAGCATTTGCATCACAGCGCGGTTTTTGTAATGTAATTTGGCGGGCCGTAATACAGTTCGGCAGGGGACGTTTGGCAAAATCTGGAGGCTGGAATTATCTGGACAATCCCCCCTTTCCTTCTCGCTCGCTCTGTGTCTGTGTGTGTCCGTCGTGGCTGGCATTTCGTTTAGGGTATATTGTTATTAGAGTTACTGCAAAACTAGCCGGCCGGTCGGTCGGTCAGAATGAAAAGGACTGAAAGAATGGGAGGGAGAGGGAGACCGATAGACACATGGGGGAAAATGATGAAACAGAGAAAAGGAGTGAGAGTGAGAGGGGAGGTAATGTGAGAGGAAAGGATGTGGAAGGAGATAGATAGATAGATAGATAGATAGATAGAAATGAGAGAGACAGAGAAAGACAGACAAACAGACAGACAGACAGACAGACAGACAGACAGACAGGCAGGCAGGCAGACAGACAGACAGACAAGCAGACAGGCAGACAACGACAGCCTTATTTCATTACAATGGAGTGCCTTTTTTACATGCCAGTGCACACCCCCCCCCCCCCCGCCCCAAATTAGCCACCCACTCCACTCGGACTCCTTAGTATAAAGTCCAAATTGGTTGTGTTAGTTTCATATTTGAATGAAGGTGAAACTTCTCATGCCTTTTTTTCAGATGAATTATCGGACCAACTCGCAAAGGAGAAAGAAAGAAGACAAGAGCTGGAAAAAGAGATGCATGAGGAAAAGAAGAAGAGAGGTAAGTACTCAAATTTTTGTTTTTTGGCTCAACACCTCTCATGCTCGTTAAAGAACTAATTTCTGTGTGGATTTTTCTGAAAACCGTTGATTAAAGGCGCAAAAAATGACCATATTCAGTTACCACGGACTCTTAAGCTAAAGAATCTTTGGCGGCCGTTTTCTAACAAATTTTATCACAGAAAACAGGTGACCCCCCACCTCGTTCTTTTGCAAATATCTCAATTTGTATTTAAGATAAATGGATAATTTCTTCATCCAAATAAAGACGAGTGAAGAAGCTTTAAGATGATACCAATAACTCTACATGCCCAAAAATTGACGAGAGCCTGATTCCACCACGCTGCCTCACATAGGATTTTCTTTGGTTTTCTTTTGTTTGTTGTTTATTTTGGTTTGGTTTTTTTCGGGGGG